CTATTAGCCCCCCCCCCCCTCCCTCCCTCCCACTTTCCTTTCTATGGCTACCCCCCCCTCCCCCTCTTCCCTCCCACTCACCCTTGTCACCCACAGCTTCGGATGTCGATGCGGGAGTTTCGCAAGGTGCAGATGGAGCCATCGCATGCAGAGGCGACATGGGAGCTGCTGAAGAACGCCATCCGGCAGATTCACTCGCAGAATGCATCGGGCCTGTCGTTCGAGGAGCTGTATCGGAACGCGTACAACCTTGTCTTGCACAAGTACGGGAGCATGTTGTACAACGGGCTCCGTGACGTCGTTGGCGCCCATCTCCGCAAGGTGGCCGAGGAGGTGGCCAGTCTCACCGATGGCTCAGACTTTGTGCTTGGCGTAGACAAGGCGTGGGCCGACCACTCGCTCTCCATGATCATGATCCGCGACATCCTGCTGTACATGGACAGGGCGTACGTGGAGAACAAGGGCATCAAACCGGTGTACCAGCTCGGGCTCCAGCTCTTTTGCACCACCGTCATCCAGCACCCGCGGGTGGAAGCGCGGCTCTCTGCAGCGCTCCTCGACATCATCACCGCCGAGCGCGAAGGCCAGATTGTTGACCGCGAGCTGGTCAAGCGCATGACCGAGATGTACGTGGCGCTCGGCGAGGACTCGCTGAGCGTGTACAAACAGTACTTTGAGACGCCGTTCCTCCTCCAGTCGCGCGAGTACTACCAGAACGAGGCGCTGGCGTACATTGCTGACAACTCTGCGGCAGCTCACCTGCGACGGGCGGCGGCGCGGCTGGACGAGGAGCGCTCACGGGTGGCGCACTGCCTCGACGCCTCGACCGAGGCTGCTATCCTCGCTGTGGTTGACACCGAGTTTATCGCCAACCACATGAAGACCATCGTCAACATGGACCGGTTCGGGCTCTCGGCCATGCTCGACGGCCAGCGCGTTGACGAGCTCGAGCTGACGTACACGCTACTGGAGCGGGTCGCTGGCGGGCGCGAGCTTCTGCTGGATGCACTCACCGAGTACATTGTGAGCAAGGGAAAGCTCCTTGTCGCCGACAAGATGATGGAGGCCAAGAACGGGCCAAGAAGCGCGATCCCAAGGCGTGGGTTGCCGGCCTCCTCGAGTCCAAGGAAAAGTACGACGTCATTCTCCGCGACGCCTTTCATGCCAACCGCAAGTACAAGACCGCCATCTACAAGGCCTTTGAGACGTTTATCAACCTCAACCCGCGCTCGCCCGAGTACCTCTCGCTCTTTATTGACGGTCAACTGAAGAAGGGCCTCAAGGGTGTGACCGAAGACGAGGTCGATGCTGTCCTCGACCGCGCCATGACCCTCTTCCGTTTCCTCGAGGACAAGGACGTGTTCGAGTCGTACTACAAGCAGCACCTTGCCCGTCGCCTCATCTTTGGTCGCTCCGTCTCCAACGACTTTGAGCAGAACATGATCTCAAAGCTCAAGGCCGAGTGCGGCTTCCAGTTCACCTCCAAGCTCGAAGGCATGTTCACCGACATGTCTGTTTCGAAGGAAACTATGGAAAAGTTCAAGCTCTTCCTCGACTCGCGGCCCAAGAAGCGCGAGGCCATGGGCGGCATTGAGCTCTCGGTCCACGTCCTCACCAAGACCTTTTGGCCCGCCCGCGACGAGCTCACCCTCGTCCTCCCACCGCTCATCACGTCGGCCACCGCTGTCTTTGACGACTTTTACCTCTCCAAGCACTCGTCGCGCGTCCTCACCTGGCAAGCCGCCATGGGCACCGCCACCGTCAAGGGCACCTTTGCCAACTCCTCGCACGAGCTCGTCGTCTCCACCATCCAGATGTGCATCCTTGAGCTGTTCAACTCGGCTGACGCCTACTCGTACGCAGAGCTCCGGAACCTCATCCAACCCTCCCACGACGACTACCTCATGAAGGGCCTGCTCTCGCTCTCGACCGGCAAGCAACGCGTCCTCATCAAGAGCCCAAAGTCCAAGACCTTCCACGACGACGACGTCTTCACTTTTAACGCAGACTTTACCTCCAAGCTCTTCCGCATCAAGGTCCTTCAGGTCGCTCCCAAGCGCGACACCGCTCCCCAGGTCGCCGCCACGCAGCGCTCCGTCAACGAGGGCCGCAAGCACGCCACCGAGGCCGCCATCGTCCGCGTCATGAAGGCCCGCAACACCATGGAGCACAACGCCCTCATCGCCGAAGTCATCAAGCGCCTCGCGAAGCGCTTCAAGGCCGAGCCGCAGCAGGTCAAGAAGCGCATCGAGTCGCTCATCGAGCGCGACTACCTTGCCCGCTCCCGCTCCAACCGCCGGACCTACGAGTATCTCGCGTAAAGTAACTCTTTGACCCTTTACGGTACGGAATGGACAAAGCTGTCCATCGCGCAAGCCGCGCTCGCGATGCTCCACAGACGTCGCAACGTCTATGAAATGATGTAAAAGAGTATCCAGTACAAGAATGGCGTGCCACAATTGCGCGGCCACACCGACCGGCAAGCTCGTCCGTCGCAAGAAGATCCACAACGTCTTCGCGCTCTCCCGTCCGGCTGCAGTATTCAACTATGCCATGATCTCCTTCGCGGTCGTCGGGGTCGTCAACGACAAGCTCCGCACCGTCCGCGCCCGCCGCTCCCCCGGATCGGCGCCGTCCGGCACCTCGCGCACCTCGCGCGCCTCACGCATGCTCCCAGGCGTCCGTCACCGCCATCACGTGCGGGCGCGCCTCCCATCTCCAGCCGCAGGCCAAGCGAGCGTCGCGTAGCGCCGGCCGGTGACCTGGAAGTCAAGCATTATCGAGTTGTTCACTTTAAGACGGGCGACAACGCGTCCGAACGACCGTACCGTTAAGGTTTAACGGCACCAGCCAACCAACTTTGCCGCGCTATTCACCCCACCGCTCGCCGGCAGCTGCTTCCAGCGAGTGCATCGTGTTGACGAGCGACGCACGGATCGACGCGTACAGCGCCCGCTCTTCCGCAACCACTACAGAAACATCGGCTGGCACCGCCCGCGGCACCGCATCTGCCAGCCCGTACTCGACTCGGCTTCTCATCGCGCCGACGTCGTCGTCCGAGTACGACGAGTACAACAGATCTGCCGTCTCCACTGACGAGTCGGCGTCGGCGTGCGCCACGCCCGAGAGCGCCAGCGACGACGGCCACGCATCTGGTGCCGATGGTGACCGCTGCCCTGTCCTGTGCCTCGCGCCTGGATGCGGCGAAAACGTCACCGTCTTCGACATCGACCGTCCTCTCTCGGGCAAGCGCGTGCTTCCGTCTCTCTGCGGCGGCATGTTCTCTGCTCCGCGTGGAATCTGGAGCGTCGGTGGCGGCGGCTGCGCCGCCTGCACTATCGGCACCGGCGATGCAGCCCGACTGCTCCTCCTCCCCATCCTCACTCGCTTGTCAGCTGTCATCGGCGGCGCCGCATCGGCCTTGGCCTTATGTACAGGTTCTGGCTCGAGCTCTGGCTCCAGAACCTCCTCCACAACTGTGGGCTCGCGTGAGACAACCCGAATGACCCGATCAAACTTGGACGAGCTCGGCGGCGACAGTGAGGTCATTTCCACGCCGTCTCGATCGGCCTCGTTTGTCACTCCGAGCTCGTCAAGGTCCGGAAGCATGGCTAGCCGCGATTGGAGCAGCGAGAGCTCGGTCGCGACTTCGGCCACTGCTCGCGATGGCGATGTGGCGCAAAGTGCCGCCGGCGAACCCGGAACCGCGATTGGCGAGCGCGCCGTCGGCGTCCGACCTTGTTCGGTCGCAAGCCATGCCATTGGGTCGCGGACGTACGAGACGACCGCGGCCCACGGGCCGTCGCGGAGTCGCTCCGGTAGCCGCGACAGCGGATTGCCCTCCAGCAAGACTTCGGCCGCTGAGAGCTTGACCACCGTGTCGGGCAAGTCCTCCAAGCCGTTGAAGGAGAGGTCGACGCCGGTGAGGCTGCGACACGCAGTGAGGACCGGCGGGAACGTCGTCAAGTTGTTGTGCGCAAGCCCAACAGTGTCGAGCGAGCCCAGCCGCATGAGCACGCCGGGCAGGGTCTGCAAGTGGTTCGACTCGAGGTTGAGCGAGCGGAGGAGCGGAAAGAGCGCAATCCACTCGGGTGCCCGGAACAAATCCATCGAGCTCAAGTCGAGCTCCTCCAGCCGTGAAAGAAACTGCAGCTCGGGCGGAAACATCCGGATGGCGTTGCCTGCCAGCGAGAGCCGCTTGAGCGCCCGCACGCCACCGATGCCGTTGGTGAGTGAGAGTAGCTTGTTGTGCTGCGCTTGAAGAACCGTAAGCGAAGTCAGCGACGAAATGGAGGACGGAAGCGCCGTCAGCGCGTTGTAGCCGACGTCGAGGACTCGCAGCGAAGTGAGCCGCCCGATCGCCGACGGAAGCACCGTCAGGCAGTTGTTTGAAATGTCGAGGACCAGTAGGTTCGTCTTCCACGACGAGTGCCGCAGTGACCACGAGGTGATGGCCTCAGGCCACGCCGTCAGCCCAAAGCCTGCCAGCGAGAGCTGCAGTGCTCCCGTCTTCTTGGCATCCTTGATCACCTTGTCCTTGAGCTTGGCAATGAGCTCGGCGTTGGACTTGCGGTACTTTTTGGCAAGCTCACGCTTGAGCTGCTGCACGTCCGCCCGCACTTGCTCCTTGTACTGTGCCAGCGCCTGATCAACCACGGCCGCCATGTGCGGGCCCGGAAGCGTAGTGAGCAGTGTCTCGTCGACCGCGTCGGGTTCGACCACAAGTGCCTCGCGCCGCGTACCCAGGTCAAACGGATCCACCTCGCGGTCGCCCTCATCGACGGCCAGGACCCGGCCTGATGAGCCTGGTGAGCCGGGCGCGTCCTGCGACCAGATGATCGACCGCGACGCCGCCGCGCGCGCTGCCGCCGCCGCTGCCGCCTCCTGCTCTGCGATCTCGTATGGGTCATCGAGAAACCGCGACTCGGCGGCAAGCTCGTTGGCGTGTGCCGCCAGGACCTGCACCTGAAACGAGTCAATCGCTGTGCAGAGGGTTGTCCGCGTCGCGGCGTCGAGCGTATACAGCGAAAATGATGTCGGCGGACCAGTCCCGCGCGCAGGCGGCACGCGCATTACAACTGCCGTCTCCGACTCGGCCATCGGAGTCACACGGACCACCCGCGGGCCGTCAATCGGCCCGGTCAGCGGAAATCGCGCCTTGAGCAGCACGTCGCCCGCGGCAGGGCCCGCTCCACTCCGCGTCAGAACCAGCCCTGACGCTGTCACCCGAAGCCGCGCCTCAATCGGCCCAGCCCCAGACGAGACCGTCACCTCGGCCTCAAACACTCCGTCGGTCAGTGCCGTGATCTGCGCATCGACATCATCCCACGCCACTTGACCCAGTATCTCGTCCTCGCCGGCTCCGGCCACACTCGCCAACTCGCGGTCGTTGAGCGCATCAACCGCAGCATAGTCGCCGGCCGGCGCTGGCGTGGGTGACGGTGACGGCGGCGGCGAGTGCGAGACAGCAAAAGGATCGGTGCCCCCACCAGGCGCCGCGAGCAGGCCGTCATCATCCGACGAAGTGAGCACCATGTCCAAGCCAGCCGCTACTCCAGCCGCTGCCCCAGTACCGTATCCGCCAGCCGTTGTATGGCCGCGTCCTGAACCCCGTGCCGAGCCCCGTCCTCGGCCCACCACCTCTGACGACGACCGTGGCGGAGGTGGCGAGGCGTAGGGAAGGCCCATGGCTGACGCCGACGATGACGACAGCTCAAACCCGTCCATATCCACCAACCCAGCAAATGCTCTTTCCGCGCCAGGTGTTGACCACCATCTGCCTGCGAGGTGCCCAGCACTACCTACGCCTTGGCCCGTGTCGGTTGGGTTCGACACCAACTTGGCGCCGAACGGGCAGAAGAAGGTCAGCGACCCGGTAGACCGAGCCATCTTCCGCCAGTACAAAATTTTATCTCCCCCCCCCCCCCCCCCCCCCACCCGGGCATGCGCAGTCGTTGCCAATGCACGCGTGTAGTCATTCCCAGCTCGTCCTCCTTCTCACCAGCCACTCCCCCTCCCCCTCCCCCTCCCCCTCTTCCCCTCCCCTCCCCTCCCGTCGCCCTCTTCTCCTCTCTCTCCACAGCCATTACTTGTCCCCCCTCTCCCCCTCTGTTCATGGTCCCTATGCGCCCTGTGGGAGAGACCCTGGCGGTGGTTGTGGTCGTCCTCGTTGCTACCTTGTCGTCGGTCTTGCTCTCCGTGTCCGGGCAAAAGTGCAAGCTCTCCTTCGAGCCACTTACCGCAACGACTGTGGTCTCTGGTTACGGGAATGGGTATGCTTCTATTCCGGCCGTTGTTAGAGTGGGAAGCATGGCGTGTGTGGCAGTGGTTGGCACCGGTACGAGTCCTGCTGGGCTCAGACTTTATTGTCCGCCAGTGACGCCAGGTGACTTTACCGGCGCTCCAGAGCTCGTACTCGTGAGTAAGACTGCTGGCAAGCATCGATCACCGGTGGTGGCTGACTTTGATGGAGAGGGCTTGGCCAACGATCTTGCTATCTTTCACATTACGGAGGCCACCGCAGTGTTCAACAACGGCTCGGGATTGTTTGCCCCCGGCGTGGAAATCTCTACCGCGTTGGTTATGGAGGACCTCGGCGCGGGCAAGATCAACGCCGATGCGTACGACGACATTGTTGTCGTTTTCAGCAGTGGAGAAGTCCGCATCTACACCAACACCGGCAGTGGTGGCTTTTCTCTCGGCTTGAGCCTGGCCTGCAGTGGCAAGTTTGTGGCCGTGGCCGACGTGGACGGGAGCGGTCTCGACGACCTGGTGTTGACTGGGTTGGGCCTGGACACGCTGCTGTGGCGCAACGACGGGACAGGAGGCTTTCCTGCCAACTTGAAGTCTGTTGTGGCACCGCCAGCCGATGTCGAAGGCCTGGTTGTGGCAGACCTCACCAATGACGGTGTCGTAGACATTATCACGACGCGTCTGTCCGGTGGAGCGTGGCTCATTGAGGGTCTTGGCGGCGGCGCCATGTCGACGGTCAACCGGAAAGTGCTTGACATCAGCATCGACACGGCGTCTCTCGTGGTCGGCGATGCCAACGGCGACGGCGCTCTGGACCTGGTCACATCGCGCGCGGATACTGCTACTGTTTCTCTCAATTCGGGCGCCACTACTTTTGGCGCTCAGCTGGAGATTCCCGTCACCAGCGCCACCATTCCGGGCGTCGTGCTGGGTGAGATCAACGGCGATGGCCTCGTCGATGTTGTCATCGGCTACGGCGACGGCGTGATTTGGTACTCCAACAATGTGACGGAGGCCGACGACATGCAGTTTGCAGCCAGTCCGACCATTTACGACAACCTTAAGACCTACATCGTCCTTGCTGCCGACCTCAACGGCGACGCCGCGCCTGACATTATTTTTGCCGACAATGACGAGGCCGAGGTTGTGTGGATTGCCAACGACGGGTCGGGCACATTTTCCTCGGTGCCGCAGGTTGTGGCGTCGGGTGCCTCGGCAACGACCATCTACAGCATTGCGCCTGGCGACATCGACAACAACGGCGACGTTGACCTGGTATGGACCGGCGCAACCTCTGGCCTGTACTGGGCCCGTAACCTCGGCCGCGGCCAGTTTGACGAACCGGTGGCCATTGCCAGCAACGTCTTTGGCCCGATCGTAGTGGCCGACATCAACCATGATGGTCTTGTCGACATTGTTCACGGCCGTCTGATCAACAACTCGCCGAGCTTTTACCTCAACCTGGGCGGAACGTTTGCTCCACCGGTCGATCTTGGCCTCTCGTCTGCCTTTACGCGCCATGCGCGAATGGGTGACGTGACTGGCGACGGGCTGGACGATCTTGTCGTCGCCGGCAACAGCCCGCTTTTTGTTGCCATTGTGCCCGGAGCTCCCGGCGGGCTCACCACATCCGGCGCAGTCTCGGTGACGGCTACGGCACCGACCGGCCTCGCGCTCGCCGACTTTAACTTGGACGGCCGGCTGGACATTGCGGTTGGTAGCAGCGGGCCAAACGTAGTGACCGCGCTGTTTGCACAGGGTGGAACGACGTTTTCTCCGGCCCCTTCGGCTCCTGTGGCCTTTGCACCGTTTGCGCTGGCCGCCGGCCGGATCGACGACGACCTCGCGCCTGATTTGGTTCTTGCCGGCGGCACGAGCGTCGCTATCGTGTTCAACGACGGCACTGGCGGCTTCTTGGCCAACGCGCTCACGGTGGCGTCGCTGCCGTCGGCTGGCTTTTACTCGGTGGCACTTGCCGACCTCAACGGCGATTTGTTCATGGATGTCATGTTCAGCTCGTTTGCAAACGCACCGTTCAGGGTTTGGACCCGCAATGCGATGCTCTCGGATGTGGGCCAGCGAGTGACCCAAGTCTCGGGCAACTTTTCCACCCATGAGCTCTCGAGCGCCATGTTTTCGCTCTGCTTCTCGCGCCGAGTTGAGTTTGCACCGGGAGCGCAACTTCGGTCGTGCTCCAAGCGATTTGGCATCAGCCTGCCTGCGTCGTCGGTGGTGATGCTTGCCGGCGACGCAGGTCAGCCTGCGCAGTTTGACTGTGGCCCCACAGGCGGCTCGTTGCTCTCGACCCAGGGTGTGCTCGCTGCGAATAACGTAGTCTTCTCGCGTGGTACCTTTGGCGCCGGAGTGACCGACGGCTCGTTTCTGCAGGTGAGCGGGAGCTCGGGCGTGTTGCGGCTGACCAATGTGACGGTGCAAGGTGCGTCGAATGCCAACTCGGGCCCTTCACAGGCATTCAGCGGCATCGGCGCTGGCGTGATTGTGGCCGAGGGCGCGTACCTCCTCGCGCGCAGCTGCGTCTTTGCCGACAACACGGCGCGGCTAGCCGGGGGCGCAGTCGGCCTCGTTGGCCTCGGTCCACGGTTTGAGGCACGCGATACTGTGTTTCTGCGCAACACAGCACACGGGCTCGGCGCGGTCGGCGGTGGTGGCGGCGCGGTGGCTGTCATGGGGCCCAACAGTCAGCTTGCGGTGACCGGGAGCTCGCGGCTGGAGCAAAACGTGGCACCGAGCGGTGTCGGCGGTGCACTTCTTGTGACGTCGGCAGCCGAGAGCGCCGACATCTCGCTTGTCGACGCGACGATTGTCGGCAACTCGGCCGGCGTGGCCGGCGGTGGGCTGGCGGTGCGTGGGGCCGAGGGCAGCACATCGATTGTGCTCTCTGGGAGCACAGCGATCACGAGTTGCACTGCTGGGTTTGGCGGCGGACTGGCAAGCGTGGCCAAGGGCTACAGCTGGCCATCTACGGTCGAGTCGACAGCTGTGATCCGCGGACAGAGCGTACCGCTGGTACCGAGCGCGGGCGCGTTTGTGCTCAATGATTCGGCTTCAGTGACCGATTGTGTTGCTCCGTTTGGCAGTCTTGGCTTTGTGTGCGACGCTGTGGTATCCGCGGCAGACACGAGCGGGCTTGTGACCGGCAGCGTCATGCACTGCGTGCCTTCGGGCGCAAGCGACGCGCCACCTGCCGCGTGGTTTGTGGACCGCACGGGTGCGAGCGGAGGTGAGGTTGTGCTTCGCACACCGCCTGTGACACTGGCGCCCGTGGACGGAACGTTGCCAGCAGCGGTCGTGTCTGGTGAAGCGCTCGGAAGCGGGCTGCTCGAAGTGCGCGATGCGTACGGGGCGGTGGCGACCGAGGCTGGGATGGTGGCGCTGGTGACGACGACCGAGCCCGAGAGCGTGCTGGAGAACCTCCAGACCGGAGCGGCGTTTGATGCTGCGACCGGGCAGGCATCGCTTAGCCCGCTGGTGATTGCGGTGAGCGTGCCGAGCGTGCCGAGCGTGACCGGGCGGTTGTTCCGACTGGACGTCAGCGTCCGCGGGGTGAGCGGGGCCGAGCTCCCCGAAACAAGCGTGTATGTCAATGTCACGCTCTGCCCGCCGGGCAAGGGTCGGGTCTCGCCGTTTGGCGATGAGCTCCGGTGTGCGTTCTGCTCGGCAGGCTCGTTCTCAGACGATACGTCGGGCGGCACGTGCGAGGCGATTCCGCTTTGCCCAGCGAACACGATTCGGCTGGCTAGGACGAACACGACGACTGGGGTTGATGGGGCGGTTGTGATTGTCTCGACCACGCCGTGTGTTTGCAAGGAGAACTTCTACACGCTGACGGGGCGGACGGACGTGGCCTGCGTGGCGTGCCCCGAGGGCGGGCGATGCCCGGGAGGAGTGGCGCTGCCGGAGGCGGCCAAGGGCTTCTATCCCTCCAAGACCAACCCGATCACCGAGTTTGTGCGGTGTCGGCGGTCGGGTGGATGCGCGGGCGCAGGAGTGTGCAACGTCGGGTACGAGGACTACATGTGCAACGAGTGCTCTTCGGGCTACTACACCGACCCGACGGACAACTGCGCCAAGTGCCCGCTGGTAGCGTCTGTTGGCGTCATCGGGGTGTTTGTGGCGATCATGGTGATTGCCATCGGAGCAGCGTTGACGATTGCGTATCGGACGGCGCAGACAACCACGATTTCCGGGACGGGTACCATGGCAGCGATTCGGCGGATCAACGTGCCGGCGACGGTGTCGATGGCGGTGGTGGCGTTCCAGGTCGTGGGCATTGTGTCGGACTCTGACTTTGGGTGGGACTCGCGGGCCAAGTCTGCGCTCTCGCTGTTCAACGCGGCCAACGTGGATCTCTCACTGACGGCGTCCGAGTGTTCTGTCGGATTCTACGGGCTTTACGTGCTCTCGGTCACGATCCCGTTCCTCCTTCTTGTTCTCATTGTGGCCGGAGTCATCATGCTCAAGTACTTTGGCGGGCGCTGGACGGTCTTTGCGCCGCTCGAGTTTGTGCCTCTGGCCACCATCATGGACTCTGTCATCTTCTCGGTAGCGCCTGTAACGTACATTCCGATGGCGCGGGCTGTGGTGGCGCTGTTTGACTGCACGAGGCTACCAGGCTCGGTCGACTTTGTGCTTGACGCCGACCCGGGCGTGGCGTGCTTTGACTCGCGGTGGTGGACAGCGTTCCCGCTGGGTCTGGCGGCGCTCATCTCATTTGTCGTCGGCGTGCCAGTGTACTCGATTGCGTGCGTGATCGGGCGGCGGCATGAGCTCTTCACACCGCTGACGTACGCACGGTACGGTGCGCTCTACCGGCTCTTCCGCATCCCGTACTACTGGGTCGGCGTGGCGGATCTTGGCAAGCGACTGGCACTGGTCGTTGCTGCGGTCTTTTTCTCGGGTCGACAGCTCGTCCAGTCGGGCCTGATGGTGGTGGTCCTTCTCTCGTATGCGTTCTTTGTTCTCCGGTACAAGCCTTACTTTTACCCGCTTTACAACGAGGTCGACTTTCAGCTCACACTCATGCTTGTCGTTTTTCTTCTTCTCGGCGTCGGCTCGTACGCCGAGCGCGAGGCACAGAGCGGTACCGGGGATCTGTTCTTTGTCGGCGTCATGCTCGCGCTCGCCGCTCTCTTTGGCATTGTGGTCTACTCGATCTACCGTGACGTGGTTCACATCCGGCAGTCGCGAAGCCTCAAGTACTCGTCGACGTCAGACCGTGCAGCGCGTCTCGCGGCGCATCTCGCCAAGGAGGTACCGGACATTGATCCCGAAGCTGCCGTGGCGCTGGAGGCGGCGCTGGAGGTGCTGTACATGACACAGGCGCGGCACCGGCCGCCAGCTGCTGAAAACGCGACGACATTCCGATGAACGACTCGCTCGGCGACACGATGGAGACCGGTGGCGAGATCGACATGCCCTCCAACGAGGACGTGGTCGCTGACAACCCAGCGTTTGCAAACACAGGCGCGTTTGACGACTTTCTCATGGCGTCCGACATGAACTCGTCGGCCGGCATCTTTGACCGCCCGTATACTCCGCGCAAGACCACGCTCGACGAGAGCTCAACCACTGCCGGCGGAGGCGAGGGCGGCGTCGGCAGCGGTTCGTCCGACGGGTCGTCGACGTAGTGCGGCGTGGCGAAAGGTAAATGCGGCACCATGGCTCGGCAGGTGTGGTGTGCTGCACTCGACTCTTTGGCCGAGCGGGCGGCGAGGTGCGGAGGCAGGCAGGCAGGAGCAAGCGGTAGGCAGGAGCACGACAAGTGGCGAGGAGGTAGCAAGGCACCAAAGGGCACGAGTGAGGGAGCATGGAGTGGGAGCCGCGTGTGGGCGAGCGGGTCGAGGGCTTTATAGACTTTGGTTGGTACCCTGGGGAGGTGACCGCCACCGACGATGAGTCGGGCGGATTCATGGTCGCCTTTGACGGCTACGATGATGAGGAGATGTTGTTCCTCGACGAGCTCCGCCCGGTGGCTGCAGGCACTCTGGAGAGCAACTCTGCTCTTGAGCCTCTCGCTACGGACGCAGCAGCACGTGCGGGCGTGAGCTCGGGCGCGGACAGTGGCGCCGGCGGTGGCGAGCGCGACGACGAACCGTGCTCGCCAACAGAGGCCCCCAAAGCGCTGGTCGGGTCGGTGTCGGCAGCAGGGCCGAGCAAGCGAGGAGCAAGATCGGCGTCTTCGACGTCTTTGGTGTCGTTGGCATCATCAGGGACGTTGGCTGAGACCGATTCGACGGCGGCGCAGAGCGAGGGCAGTCGGGCCGGGCTCGATGCTGGCCTGGATGCAGAGGCGGTGGCATCAGTGGCGGTGGCGGGCTCCAGCGGCGCGGCGCAGTGGAACGAGCTGCTCAACACCAAGGTCGATGCGCGGGTCGGTAAGGACGAGTGGGTGGCCGGGCGCATTGTTCGGGTCTCACCGGCCACCCACTCGGTGGTGGTGGCGGTCGACAAGAGCGACACCGAGGTGGTCCTTCCTCGGTGGCATGTCCGTGGGCGGATTGGTGCCGATGCTGAGAGCCTCGAAGAGTGGCTGCCGATTGAGGGAGACTTACTCGATGTGACGGACCCAAGACCGGCGAGTGGTATCTTGGGACGCTGGTAGCCATCGACGACGAGACCGAGGATTGCCGGGTGGCGCTGGTGGGAAAGTCACGGACGGTGGCCGCGAGCCTTACCGAGCTGCGCCCGGCGCAGTACCTACCGATGGCGCCGTGGCTTCCGCGGGAGGGCGAGTCTGTGGAGAGTTTTCTTGTCGCCACCGCGCGATGGTATCCCGGAACCGTGGTGACAGTTCTTGAGCGTGACGGCGACGAACCCGGACTGGTGGTGGCTATCGAGTCCGTGCCCAACTTTAACGATGGCAAGCCTTTTGAGATCGAGTGTGAGCTCATCGATGTCCGCCCGCTCTCCGACGCGCTGGCCAAGGCCTGGCCCAAGCTCCACTCGTCGGTCGAGGCGTACATGGACGATGCATGGTGGCCAGCACGGGTCTTTGGCTTTGTCGACGCCCGCCGCGTTGCAGTCATTTTCGACGGCTATCCAGACGAGGACCACGTGTACTCGGTTGAGGAGTTACGGAGGCCGGAGCCAAGTGCCAAGGGCAAGGGTAAGGGCAAGGGCAAGGACAGGAAGGAGCCAGGATCGATGTCGTCGATTGCAGAAGATGATGTTGCTGACGTGATTGGTGTCGGTCAGGCCGAGGACGATTGTGAGGTTGGGACCAGGACCGAGGCAATGATCGATGCCCAAGTCGATGCCGACGTTGACGTCGACGTTGATGGCGAGGACAAGGATGGCGGCATGGCCGAGGCCGAGATTGAGACAGGCGAGGTTGAGAGCGCAGAGGCACTGGTTGCGGCTCTTGGTCTGGCACTGGACGACAAGCTCGCAGAGAGGAGCTCAGACGAGGCCAGCAATGAGCACACTGAAGACGTGTTCAGCCGCATGGCGTCGCCACGGAGCGAAGCTGGATCCGCTGATTGTCCAACTGGAGAGGGAGCAGATGGCTGGCAGAAGGCCGAGGCCGGGGGTCTTATTGGGTTCGAGGCCGAGGTTGAAGCCGAGGGAGAGGGCAAGGGCGAGGACGAGGACGAGGACGAGACCGAGAGCGGATTCGACGCCACTATTGATGCCGAGGTCGAGTGGCCAGCTGTTGCCGATGCCGTAGACGTCCAGATTGATGGCAAGTGGGTGGGCGGAGTGGTGGTCGAGTCGGACCGCGATGATGGGCGAGTGCTTGTTTCGGTCGGCGATGGCGAGGGCGAGGACGAGGACAGGGCGGTCAAGGTCGAGCGAGACGCTTTGCGGCGGCCGCGCAAGAGCCGCCTGGCTTGGCCGCAGCCGGGCGACGTGGCCGAGGTGCAGACCGAGCCAGGACAGTGGGTGTCTGCGGCCGTGGAGCAACGGAAAGACGCTGAGGGCGGGGCACGGGTGTGGGTGAAGTTCGAGGATGGGAGCGGCGAGGGCGTGTTTGGCATGGACGACGTGCGCGTGCCGATGAACGTATGGCCGGCGCCTGGCGGACGGGTTGAGTGCTACTTTAACGGCGACTGGTACCCGCGACGGTGCAGCAGGTCAAGATGGCAGCGAGCGGGAACCGTGTGGTAGTGGTCATCTTTGACGGGTATGCTGACGACGAAACGATGGGTCTCGACGAGATTCGGAGGATGAACCGGGCCGATGACGCGGTGGCGGCGGCTGAGGCGGCACAGGCCGAGCTCCGGGCCAAGCTTGGCTTGCCTGGCGTTGGTGACCATGTCATAGTCTTTACAGATGGCTCGTGGACCGGGGCTGAGGTGCTCGCGGTGCCGCGGTCGGCGCAGGCGGCACTTGCAGGCGCGGCTCGGGACGAGGTGACGGCAGTGAGCAAGACCATCCAGGTCAAGATCAAGCTCGATGTTGACGGCGAGGAGCTGGAGCTGCCGCTGACAGATGTGCGAACGACATGCGAAGCGGATCTGACTAGCTCTATGTCGTCGATGTTTGAGCAGAGTCTCGGTTCTGGAAACTTGGCGGACGACATGAGCGGCGAGGGAGCGGCCGGACCACCGCTGCTGTCGCGGACGGGCTCATCATTTGATCTTGTATCACCAAGTGAGAGCTTGCAAGAACTGGCGAGTCCAAGAGGTGGCGGAGCGTCATCACCGGATCTGGGTGGGCCGCCGACCTCGCGGGCGTTTGCCAACATCACCATTGCGACCGAGGTGTCCACCACGCGCGCAAGCGATCGTCGTCGCTCTCCAAGTCAGGGCCCAAGCTCGACGAGCTAGTCGACGAGCCCAGTGGTAGTACGGCACCAGTAGAGCCAGAAAAACCAGCGCCAGTGGCTCCGCGGCGTTCCACGCGCGGAGCGCCAGTGGCTCCGCGGCGTTCCACGCGCGGACGGACGGTTATCCAACTGGAGGTCGATCCGGAGCCACCCGCGCTGGCTGAGCCCGAGCAAGTCGTGACCGAGTCGCCGAGGACGACCAACGTTCCGATGTCACCGGTTTCGCGGGGGTCGCCTGGCCGGCGATAGCAAACGGGCGCGGAGGTGGGCGCGGACGCGGGCGCGGAGGTGGGCGCGGAGGCGGACGCGGAGGCGGACGCGGGCGCAGGCGTGGCCCGTTGCAAAGTGCCCCTTTCTCGGCGTACATCCGCGAGTCGTTTCCATCGCGGGCACCAATGGACCAGCAGTCTGTGGTCTCGCGGTCGTCACTGTCAAGCGCGTTTGACGTGGGCGATGAGGGCAAGCTGCCGGCGTTTGCCACCGGCGCCGTCCGCGACAACGTGCGAGCGACGGAAGCGGCGCTGACAGAGGTGGAGGCCAAGTGGGGGGCAAGGCTGCGCGAGGCTGCGGCGCGCGGGGGATCGTGGGAGGCACAGGCGCGGCGGCGGGCGCTGGACGACTTTCATCGGATTCGCAAAGAGAAGGCGGCGCTGCTCAAGGCCGAGCGACGGACGGCGCGGCTGCACACGCAACTCCTACAGCAAAAGGCGATGGTAGTGGAGCGGATGACGACAAAGCGGCGCGAGCGGCGTCCGCGCGGCCTGTTGCACGCGGTCAATGTGATCACAACGCCCGAACCGTTCCACTGGGGCCTCTCACGAGCGTTTCCTGTCAAGCCGCTGGCGCCTGTTGTAACGGCGCGGCGGGGCCAGCATCGGCGGACGTCAACAACAAGTTCGACAGGCTCGGCGCGACCAAGCGCGAGTCAGCGGAAGGTCGCACGGCGGCATGTTGATGACGACGAGATCTCGTTGACGCAAGTCTCGGTGTCGGACTCGGACTCGGACTCGGAGGCGGAGGCGGAGCCCAAGGCTGCCGTCCGTCCGCTGCCGCCGGTCAAGCCACCTGCGCGGCGGAGGCGGCGACGGTAGCGTTGGCGATGGCATCTAGAGGCGCGACGGCGAGGCGAGGCGATTGTAGACAATTTCGGCAAGAGCAGCGTCCTGGACACCCATGCCGGTGAGGTCAACGATGGTGAGTGCAGAAGCCGGCGGTGGAAGGGCCGTGCCGCGGACAATGTCGCCGAGGGTAAAGACGCCAGGGTGAGGAAGAACGTGAGCGATAGAGCGGAGCTCACCGAACGCGGCTGTCTGCTCGATCGAGTCGACGATGACGGCGCCACCCGCACTGAGGGCGGCGTGGAGGACCGAGGCGTCAAGTTCTTGCTTGTGCGGCGAGTCTGAGCCGACAGCAACAACAAGCGCGGACGGCGCGAGCCAATCGGGTGAAGCAATTAGCGGGTTCGAGGCCGGCGTGGCAGTGATGACGACGTCTGCGGCAGCGAGCGCGTCCTTGATGGACGGCGCGGCAGAGATTGCAAGGTGCGGATGGTGCGAGGACATGTGATCGACGGCGGCGGCGGCGGCGGCGGGCGACGGGCCCAAAGTGTGACAGAGCGGATTTCGACTGCTGCGGCAAGCGAGGCGAGCTGCTTGCTGGCCTGGATGCCTGCGCCGAGGATGGCGAGCTTGGTGATAGGCCCTGGACGGAGCGTGGTGATGGCGAGTGTGCCCGCTGCGGCGGTGCGCATGTCTGTGAGGCGGGCGTTGTCGAGGAGGACAGCGAGCGGAGCGCCGTTTGTGGCAGAGAAGACGAGGACAAGGCCGGATCCAGACGGCGAGGCCTTGTAGAAGGACGAGGCGACTTTGAGTGCAAAGATGGACGAGCCGCCGATATGGGCACCTTTGACATGGCTCTCACCGCAGGCATCGGCAAAGTCAAAGGCCATGGGCATGGGCCCGACAATGTCGTCCGGCGAGGCGGAGAAGGCGAGGCGGGCAGCGGCGAGGGCGTCGGCCCACGAGACGGCGGCGGCAATGTCATCAGGCGAGGCGATGTGGACGTCGCGGGCAGGTGGAGCGTGTGAGGATGTAAGCTCGAGCATGGCGCGGCGGAGGTAGGCATTGGCAGCGGCGACGGATGGGAGCTGGACGGCGTGGTTGGCAGTGGCGGCAAGAGCGGCGTCCATGGAAGGATGAGCGATGCCGGCAGGCGCGTCGACAAGCGGGAGGGCAGCGTGGACGACGTCGACAAATTTGGCGGGATGGGCAGTGGCGAGACAGATGGTGTGGAGCTGGCCGGCGGACGGCGGTGGGATGGCGACAGAGCCGGCGAGCGCGACCGCCGAGTGCGGGTCGAGGAGATAGCTGTCGGCAGCGTAGGTGGCAGCAATGGTGGCGAGGGTGGTGGCGTCGGAGATCGAGGTGGCACGGAACGGCGCGGGAGTGCCCCATGCGGCGAGCGGAGGAAGGGTGACGGTGGCGCCGCTGCGAAAGGCATCGATCCACGCCGAGAGTGTGGTCGGGCACTCTGCGGCTGCGGTGTGGTAGAGGAAGCGCCAGAGGTTGTAGGGAACGAGGATGTCGATGGCGTTGGAGAGAGTAGGGACGACTGGCGGCGGCGGGACGAGGCGTGCGTGAGTGAGGGTGTCGGCGACAATGGCGTTGGCGTTGGTGGCGATGACAAACTCGGAGACTGGGAGGCCCATGGCGGCGGCGTAGAGGCCGCCGACCATGTCACCACAAGCGCCAGTGGGAACAGCAAACCGGATCGGGTGGGCAAGCATGAGGCTGCAGAGGGCGGAGGACGAGTGCGGTCCGGGCCCAGCGCGGGCGCGGATGTGGGCGAGGAAGGCGTAGATGTAGTGGACAGACTGGAGGAGGACGCGGGCGACGTTGATGGAGTTGAGCGAGCCGAGCGAGACGTCCTTGGCGAGAGCCTTGTCGTTGAAGACATCGTCGAGAATAGTGTCGAGCGAGTCCGAGTCCGAGTTGGCGACTTCGAGAACGGTGACGTTGGGTGGGAGCTCGCACTGCATCTGTGCGGCCTGCTCGCGCGAGACGCGGTTGTGCGGGAAGAGGACCCAGAGGTGGAGGAGAGCAGGATCGATGCCTGCGGCTGCGGCGACAGCAGCCGGCCCGGTATCACCCGAAGTGGCGACAACAATGTTGGTAGGCTTGGGCCCCGGGGCACGAGCGGCAAAGATGGCGAGGAGGCGAGCAAGGACGCCGATGGCCATGTCCTTGAAGGCGAGCGAGGGCCCGTGCCAGAGCTCGAGGATGGAGGTGTCGGGATGCGAAGCAAGTGAGGCCAGCGGAGCCACATCGGACGTATCGAACCGATCAGGTGCAGCAAAGGCAGAACGAAGGACAGCGTCGAGCTCTTCGGTCGTCAGCGAGTCGCCCACAAAGGGCGCCATGACTGCTGCGGCGAGTGCCGCATAGTCGGCATCGATGAGCGATGCCAGGCGCGGGAGCGAGAGGTGCGGAAGGCTCGACGGAACGTAGAGGCCACCGTCGGGCGCTTGACCAGCCAGTACCGCCGTAGCAAAGTCCACAGCCGGGGCCTGACCGCGGGTCGAGACGTAGGTGACCATGGCGAGGGTGGGGGAGGGGTGGGGTGGTATGCGGGGGTGGGCGGGGCGGGGGCGGGGGCGGGGGAGAGTGGCATGTGCATGTGCATGTGTGGGTTTACGGAAGTTGCAGACGGGAGATCGATGTGGTGCAGGATCGATGTGCGTAGAGGCTATGCGCAGGCGAGCGAGTGGGGTAGTGTTGAGGCGATGCCGTGGCCAGGATGGGGCGAGGTAGTGGGATGGGCAAGCCGCTGGGCCTCGGCGACAGCGCAGTAGAAGCCATAGGCATCGCGGGGTGCGACAAGAACGTTGTGGCTGGCGGCGCGGCAGCAGATCTCGATCAAGCGGCGAGAGAACGAGGTGGAGAAACGTGGCCCGGGGAGGAGAAGGGCGTCGAGGACGCCTGCGGGACGGAGGTAGGTGATGCGGGCGATGGAGATGCGGTAGCGGAAGAGCGGGCAGACAATGACCACAGCCTTGTGATCGACGCAGATGCGGGTCGGAGTGGTTGCCAGAGCATACGCAGCACCGGCCATGGCCGCAGCGCAGCAGATCCAACGTGTATGAAAGCCACCGACCGGAACGAATGCCAGCGCAAGCAGCGGGAGCACCACCGGCGCCAGCCACAGCACCGCCGCGTCGACCGTGTACGCCGGCTTGCTCTCGAACGGCAGCCATTCGTCATCCGCCCGCGACTCTGTCGCCCCTACTGGCTCCATGGACACCTTTGCGCCAGCTCGCCGTCGCCAGTCGAGCTCTGCGGCGGCGCGTGAGGTGGTGTGCCGTCTGGTCGCAGGGTGAGCAGCTCTGTTGAGCGCGACGCCATGGCCACGCCGGCGATTGGTCGACCACCACAGTTCGTGTGGTGGAGGATGGATGGGAGCAGGTGTAGCACATACCAGCTAAACACACGAGTATAACCTATGAAGGAGGGAGGGGGGTATATTGGGGATTGCAAGGAAGAGTTGGGGAGCCAGTGTGCACGGTACAGGTATCCATTGCTCGAGCATTGCTCACGGCAATACCAATATTGTCTCTCGGTCCATTTCATTCTATATTTTTTTCCCCCGGTGTCGGCAGCAATCAGTGATAGCGACAAAAAAAAGTGGTGTTCCTTTCGCGGTGATACACTCGTCGCTCTGTCGTCGTCCTTCGACAAAATGTCAAAGACAGCAGCATCGTGCCGTCACCTTGGTTGCGAGGTGAAGCACAGCCGGGGAGGACGACGGGGTGGGCAGTGTACCAGCCACCTCAACGAGCCGTTCAATCCCAAATGCCCTGCCTGTACCGCTGCACTTGCCGCAGGTACTCGTCGACTCGACGACTCTACTGGTCGTCGTCTGCTACGCTCTGTCTCCCAGTACGTCCGGTAGAGCCGAGCGGGGCGGGTGAGGGGGGGCAGGGGAGGGAGGGGGGGGTTGTGGCGGAGGGAAGGGGGGTCTGGTTGGGGGTGTTGGCAGGGGCAGCACCATACCGACTACGGTTATGCCCAGTCCTGCGAGTGGTGTACCCATGCCCGCAGTCTGCAACGCTCGCACTGAGCTGTACCGCTCGCAAGCGGGTGGGTAGCATGCTGGTGTGGCGCGTCCCGGTCGCGCGTGGCGTTACGAGGAGCGGGAATTGCCTCGGCGGAATTGAGAAACTTTTAGGATGTCACGGCAGAGCCCGGCTCACTTCCCTCACTCACATGCGCGGTGCGGCGACTGGCGGTGCGGGTGCAGAAGCGAGTACGCGTGCCAGCAGAGCCGCTGCTCATACACGGCGGCCGATCAGATTGAGGGCACGTACGAGGAGCGGATAGCGGCACTTAGAGCGCACGAGGCGCGCGAGCATGCGAGCGGGAGCGCCGATGCCGATGATGATGAGGCGGCGGCGTCGAGTGGAAAGACTGCCAGGTCGCAGAGCAATGGCACGGGCGCGCCAGCAGGAGACAGCTCGACCGACTCGGCGGGGCGGGCTGGGCTCTGCTCGCACACGGGGTGCGAGTGGCGGTCGACGGCGGCGACGCCGCGGGACCGGCGCAAGTCGGCGCGCAAACACCGACATTGCGTGGCGGTCCATCTCGAGCACATCGACTCGGGCGAGTCGGGCGAGTGCTCGTTCTGCGCCAAGCTGACAGCGTCAGGCGAGTGGGGCGCGTCCGACATTGCGCGGGCGCGTTCGGCACCAAGGCGCGGATCGGCGTCGCGGAGCGCATCACGAAGCGCGTCGCGCGGCAGCGGGCGCGGGCGCAACGGCGCGAGCGCGGCCCGTTCTCGTGTCTCCATTGTTCCGCCACAGGCGATGACCGGCAGCCCCGAGCGTGGATCGAGCGGCGACCTGACCGCGTTTTCGGCGCCGGTCACGCCACCGTCGAGCTCGGGCCCGAACGGCCCGGCGATTCCGACGTCGAACCTGCTCAAGGAGCATCTGCGGCGGATGGGCAACGCGGTGCCGCGGCCGGAGGCTGCCGGGCTTCAGGTCGACAGCACAACCAAGCGGGTGTCAACGACGCGGCGGCTCAACGAGTGCCCACACGAGGGGTGCACCTGGCGGCCACTCATTCTCTCGTCGTCGCCTCTGTATGACGACGCCATGGCGAACCACGCGAGGTCGGCGGCGGCGCACAAGGAGCACGTGCACTCGACTGGGATCGGGTGTGCGGCGTGCCTCTTCCTGCTACAGTCGGGAGTGTGGTCGGCGGACGCGGTGTACGGGCAGGCGTGGGAGGTGGAGCAGGTGACACTCCCGCAGTTCCTCCCGTCGCCGACAGTGATGACGACGCGGTCGTCGAACGACAACACGCCGCCGGTGCTGGCCAAGCCCGCTGCTGGCGTAGGGTTCAGCCAGCCGCACATTGGCGGCCTCCCGCTGCCACAGCACGCGCCGTCGAAGCGGCCACGCGCCGCCGCTGCCGAGCTCAAGCGGCGAGCACTCAAAGACGAGCAAGACTACACCCGCGACGTGCGGCTGATCAAGGCCGGCGACTCGGTGCTCTCGGCCAAGCTGCCGTATGGCGGCGAGACCGAGGCGCTGCTCCAGGTGCTGCGGCCGTCGGAGCGGCCGACTGACACGGTGCCGTACCCTTTCTCGCTGCGGCAAAGGGAGGTGGCGGCCCGCCGCAAGAAACGATCGGCGCCGCCAGCCTTTGAGGCCGTCGCCTACACCCGTAACTTCCTGTCGTCAGAAGAAGTGACGACGCACATGACCAAGTTCTCTACCCAGCTCAAGAACATGCTACGCGACGACCTCGCGTCGCACACCGAGTACTACAAGTCGCTCGGCGGGGCGGTCCTCGATCTGGCACGGCAAGTGTATGCACTCAAGGCCGAGCTGCGGTCGACGTGGAACTCGCGCTACCACCTCGACTATGCCGACGAGCAGGCCGAGCGCTCCCGCCGCAAGCGCGAACGCGAGCGCGAAGACCGCTTGGAGGCCGCGTCGGCGGCAGCATCGAAACGGGCGCGGCTGCTGAACGGGAACGCGGCGCCGGGCGTGGGCGGAACTGCTCCCAGCACGGCAAGCGGGACAGCTGCGACCGCGCCGGCCGCTGCCTCCAATCCCCACCACGCTGTCCACAAGGCCATGGTCTCGTCTGTCCTCACCCGAAAGCGGCGGTCCAAGTTCTGGTCCAAGTTTACAGTCTCTGTCCTCAATGGCATTGTCGGGCAGCTCGAGCACTGCGACGGCGCCGCCGAGGCGTACGCACGGTTCGAAAAGAACGGTGGCTTTGACATTCGCCGCTATGCCAGCGACGACGCGCTCTAGCGAGCGCTCGCGACCGCGTTCACGGGCTCGTGACGCTGGGCTTAAATTGCATCGGACGGCCGTAGATGCGGGTGCCGAGTTGGTCGGCACGCGGCGAACTGGGCGAGCCAGGCGATGTAGCCTCTGCAGCGCGGACGAGCGCGTCGGCGGCGGCGGCGGCGGCGTGGATGCGGGCCAGGATGTTGGCGTGATCGGCGGACGGCTCGAGCGAAGCGTCATCGCCGGGCGGCAGGGTCGACGGGGCACATCTACTACTGCTGCTGTTGCCATGGGCATCGTCCGAGTCTGAGCCGGAGCCCGTGCCGGACGAGGTGCACGAGGTGTCCGAGGCGTCCGAGACGTCCGAGGTGTCCGAGGCGTCCGAGGCGTCCGAGGCGTCGGGCTTGCGGCGCGACCGCGAGGCGGAACCCGCTCCATGCTGCGCAGATCTTCGAGGACCGGATGTGTTGGGCCGAGCAGTTGCTCCATATGCTCCATATACACGAGCTGGCGAAGGATGAGGGCCGAGGCGCGGCCGACCTCGGCGAGGAAGCTGGCCGATGTAGCGAGAGCGGCTAGGACGCCCATAGAGCGAGCCTGGTTGAGACCAGCAATAAGAACATCCATCTGGGCGACCGCTTCGTCTATGAGCCCGGCGGCGGCGTACATGCGCCCAGCGGCGTCAAGGACGTTAAACATGGGCGGCCCGGACGGGACAAGGGCTTTGGCACGGGAGATGTCGGCGAGGCCGGCATCAACATCGCCGAGTTTGCCGTTGACAACGGCGCGGGTGCAGAGGAGCTCCACTAGAGCCTGCGGCGGGGACGAGCCTGCGGCAACGAGCGGCTCGAGCTCTGCCAGAGCGCGGTCGAGCAGGTCGACGGCGTCAGCGTGGCGGCCGATGTTTGCGCGAATGCGAGCGAGCGGAAGGTACGAGGCATGCGGGCACGAGCCGCGGATGTCCTCGACTCGCAGCAGTTGCTCTAGAAGGATGCGGGCCATGTTGGGCTGCTGCAGCTGGCACTTGATCTCGCATGCCTCGCGGAGCAGTTGCTCGTACTCGGCATCGCTCTCCACGCCGTCGGCAAATTCCATGGCCGAGAGCGCCCGACAGAGCCACTTGTCGGCTGCACAGAGGTCCTGAGCCTCACGGTGGGCCTTGTATGCAGCCTTGGCCGTCTCTGCCCGTCGTGAGTGATTGTTGTCCTCTGCTGCATGGTACGCTGCTTCTGCAAGCTCCATCTGCCTGTCGTCGTTGGCCTTGCTTGCCGTCGCCATTGGCGCGAAATTGGCGACAAGTGGTGACCGAGGCGTGATGGGGGGATGGGGAGGGGCATGACTCAGTGAGGGTGGCGGTCAGTGACGGTCACCGTTTTACCCGAGGAGCGCCTTGAAGGTGGCATACAGATCCTCGCTGTCGGGACCAAAGAGGTTCCAGGCAAAGACTAGGGTCTCATTCCGGGTCTTGGTGCGGTTGGTCAGCTCGCGGATGGCCTCGAGGAGCGAGTTGAAGGCTTCGTAGTCGAGGCGGAGCCGGGCCTCGCGGAAAAAGAGCTTGCCGGCGTCCGATGCCATAAAGCCCGGCTTGGGCACGCCGCTGGCCACCTCGGATGCTGCTGACGCCGTGGTGGTGTCGAGCGCCGACCGCGAGAGAGCTGGCGACTGGTTGTGACGGGCAGGGGTCAGCGAGCGCGAGCGCGATCGCGCGCGCTCGACTGCGCGTGCCGCACCGGCAGCCGACGCCGCCGGATCTGGGTCAGCATCGGCCTGCATCCACGATGTGGCCGTCGGGTCACGCGCCTCACGTGAGGCTCGGATCGACCGCCGCAGCTGCGACGACGAGATCTGCGAGTCGGTGATCGACTGCTCGATCTCCGCAATGAGCAAGTGGTGCGCGTCGAGTGCGCCAGTCCGCGGCGCCGGTCGCGTGCTGCTGCCCATGGCCAGTGACGTGTCGAGTGCCTCGGCCTCGGCCGCCAGCCGGTCCATCAGCGGCGAGAGGTCACGCCGGACGTCGTCGTCGGCCTCGATCCCGCGCGCGGGCGAGTCAAGCACCTGCGGCGACGGCGAGCGGCGCGGTGAGCGGTGCGGCGAGCGGTGCGGCGAGCGGTGCGGCGAGCGGCGTGGTGAGCGGTGTGGCGACGACGGCCGGAGGTAGCTGTCGGCCACCGCAATCGACGGCAGTGGCGACGAAAGCTCCGCGGCGTGGCTGACCACCCCTGGATCGGCCCTCTCGTCTTCCTTCAGCGTGCACAGGATCGCTCGCTTGAACATGCGCAGTCGCTGCAGTTCTGCCGACAGCGCCTGGACTTGCTGCGCCAGCGCCGTGTTGTCCGCCACCAGCGCCTCGCGTTCCTTGGCCACACGCTGCCCTCCCCGCCACCCGCGCATCGTCCGCCCGATACCATGTGTTGTCCATTGGCGTGAGTCTGTCACCACCTGCCCGTCGACCGCCGAAGGCGCCTCATACTCACCTCCGCTCCCATCCTCCCATATCCCCCCCCCCCCTCCCCCCCCCCTCCCCCCTCCCATACCCCTACGTCATCCCTCTCGTGCTGCGTACCATGTGCGAGGACTGCAGTGCGGCAAGGTCGGTGCGGGCATGGTCAGCCTCGGACTGGGCAGACTCACAGGCCCGGGCCATGTCGGCAAGTTGGGCCTCAAGACTTGCCACCTGGGTTCGGTGTGCGGCTTGCGCAGCTACCATGGCCGTCTCGAACTCCATAACTAACAGCCAAGCACAAAGCGCGGAAGCTACTGGTCGCCTACACCGGCGTCGAGTGTCTCTCACCCGCCCGCACACCGGCCACCAACCGGCGACCGACCGACCGACCGGCGACCGGCGACCGACCGACCGACCGGCGACCGACCGACCGACCGACCGGCGACCGACCGACAACCGACCGACCGACGACAGGCGACAGGCAACAGGCGAGCCCCCCCCCCCCCCCTCCCCCTCCCCCTCCCCCTAGCCCCAGCCCTAGCCCCAGCCCCAGCACCCACAGCCCGACATGCACAGCCACTCCAACCATCCCCACCATCCCCACCATCCCCCAGCAATAACCAATCCCCACACCCTATGGTGAAGCCTGTCGACGAGTCGGCCGAGTCGGTCCATGGCCCGGCGGTCGTCGGTCTGCTAAAGAACACTGAACGTCGGCACACTTGGCTCGACCCACCCCGATACTTTCACCCCTACCCGTGGCCTTCTTTCTCGCGATATGGCCAAGAACGGGTCTCATTCTCGGTCGTCGCGGCTACGGTCGTCACGCGACGTGTCGACCGACCACGCCGCCATGCGCCTCGGCGCTCCGTCCTCGTCGCTGCGGTCGGAATCGGCGGCGCATCGAGTGGCTCTGCTCTCGGGATACTCTCCGCCGACGTCGGCAAGGAGCACAGGCCGGGCAAGGAAGATCTCGTCGTCATCGACACGGCATCACCATGCTGGCTCGCCGTCCAAGCATCACGCTGGCTCGCCGTCCAAGCACAGCCACCATGTTGGATCGCCCGGAAAGGCCTCTCGCTCCTCGTCGTCGTCAAAGAAGCTCGCCTGGTTCTGCCTCTTCTGTGATGGCGAGTTTGTCTCGTCGCCGAGCTATGTCAAAATTCGGACTGGTTGTGGTTCGGGCTCGGGCTTGGGCTCGGGCTCGGACTCGCTGTCTCAGGACGAGTCGTCGGGGTGGCGGGTTGTCTCCTCGCGGCGATCGTCGTCGTCGAGCCGCGCACCGCTTGTCGAGCCGCCGAGAGCAGTGACTGAGAGCGAGGCGTCAGGACTGCCGCCCGGCGACACGCTGTGTGCGCTCAACTCGGCAGGGATCAACTCGTCGCGGCACACGCCGGCAGCCAGCGCGGCACATCCGCTGGTGCGGCAGCTCCGGATCCAGGTCCGCATGAAGGCGTCAGGCAAGGGCAGCCGCAAGCGGCGGAAGCGCGCCTTGATTCCGCCGCCGTTTAGCTCTGGTGTCATCGCGTCCAACTCGCTGCAGCTCCGGCCAGACGGCTCTTTCACCGCGGTCAAGGTCGGCGAAGGCGAAGACGCCTCGCGACGGACTCGGACAACCATGATCGCGTACTACGGGTACTTTAGGGTCGACACCTCGAGCGAGCGCATCGCGCTCTACACGCCTTTCTCGCACTTTTACCGCGAGGGCTCGGCCGCCATGCCGGTCCGGTCCATGGTCCATCACTACACTCGAGTCCACGACAAGCTCGTTCTCGAGGCTGCATATACCGAGGGCTCGGGCGGGATTCTCCTGGCGCGAGTCGTTAACTACCTTGCTTCGCTTGGCGACTACGCCGGCTCATTCTTTATCCTTCCCCCGGTCCGGCCCACCGACAACGAGGCCGGCACCGCACTCATCGCCGCGCTCTCGCGCGCCGCTGACACCGCAGCCGGCATCTCGGACTGGGACGCAGCGCCGTCCGAGCTGGAGACCTCGACGTCACGCCGTGACTCGGATTCGGACGACGAGTACGAGTACGAATACAACGAGTACGAGTACGACGACAACGACGACGACGATGAGTACGAGTACGACGGATATGCCTCCGGCGGCTCGTCCGGCCGCTACGTCAACGACTACGCCGTTTTTGAAGTCCGCAACGGCGCCAGCGGGCCGAGCAGGCGGCGGCGCCAGCGGCGGCGGCGGCGCGGCTCGCTATCGTCCTCTGATGGCGTCGGCTCGGGCTCGAGCTCTGGCTCGGCTGCGTCCGAGTACAAGATTGAGTACGTCGAGTACACGGCGGTAGAGACGACCGAGAGCACATCATAACATACTCTCCGCGGGTTGCGTGTGTTACTGCAGGGGGCGGCCTCAGCGACGCCTCTACCGCTTCTTGTTGCGGTTGTGGTTGTTGCGACTGCCGCGCGACGACGACGACCGCTGGTTTGGGCCGTAGCCGGGGATGCGGGTCGCGTTGTGGTTGGCGTTGGGATCGTCGCGGCCGAGATCTTCATCGCCAGACGATGAGTCCTCGAGATCGTCGTCGTTGTTGAGCGGGTGCTCGGCCCACTCGTCACGCTTGTGGATGCGGACCTTTGTCTTGAGCCACGGCCTGCTCGGCTTTCCGCGCTTGGCCTTGGGCAGCTCGGCCTTACCGCGCTCGTAGATGGAGGTCATGCGGTCGGCAAGGACCGAGCCCTGGATAGGGAGACGGCGGAGCGAGCTCGGAATCTCGCTGGGGAGCAGGAACTCGGGCTCAATGGTGATGGAACCCTTGCCGAGCTTGGTGATCGGAGCGGCCGGCGCGGCGGCGGCGGCGGCGGCACGGGCGCTGGCCTTGGCCCGACGGATCTCGATCTCTGCGAGAACTTCCTTATTCAGCCTCTTGAGCAGGTAGAGCTCGTTCCTCTTGCGGCGCTCCAGCTTCCTGCGGCGGGCTTCCTCGTTCTTCACCTTGCTGATAGTAATGTTCCGCCGCTGACGCGCGGTCCGCGGCTTGCGGTTAGCCTGCATCTCGCGCATCTTCCGCGCAATGGCAATCTCGGCCTTGGCCTCCTCGTCGAGGCTCTCCGAGTCGGACGCGCCGTCGTCGTCCGAGTCCATCATCATGTCCAGAGGGAGGAGCGAGGACACGACGTCGGTCACCGCCCTGACGGATTTGGCAGGCAGCTCAGAGTCGAGCTTGGCCTTGGCCTTGTTCCGCTTGATCTGTCCGGCGGCAGCGTCAACGAGGTGTTTGGTGTGCTCGGAGGTGACCGGGTTGTACGACTGGCCCGGCGCCGCCACCCGGACGTTGGCCACCATCTTGTGCCCACTCAGCAGCTTGCGCCGCTTGACAGGCATGATGGTGTCGGCCACGTAGTCGTCGACGTTCTCCTCGGCGAGAATCTTCTCCCGGCCGACCGGCTCGGCCCACGCGTCGACAATTTCGACCTGCTGCGAACTGGCGTCCTCGTTCAGGTCGACGATCACAGCCCGCCGCTTCTGCCGCTCGAGCTTCTTGGCATTGGCAAGCTCAGCCAGCGACCGCGGCTTCTCGCCTTTCCGGAGGAGGTCCATCGCGCGCTGGCGGCGAGCCTCAGCGTTCTTCGCTGCACGCCGCTGGGCAATTGCCTCTGAATCGCGGAGCCGCGCCTTGGCAGCAGCTGCGGCCTTCTTCCTCTGGTTCTCGCTCACCCGCCCGGTGTAGAGCGACGAGGCGCCAATGGCCACCGCCTTGGAGCTAAGCTTGGCATCGATGTGGAGGACCTTGGCACGAGCAGCAGCCTTCCGTTCGGCACGGGTCATCAGCTTTGCCGTCGGCTTCGTATCAGTAAAGAACAGATCATCATCATCCTGAGCCTCGATGGGTCCACCCTGGGCCGCCATCTCCGAGGCAGCATGGACCGCCTCAATCACGTCCGAGACATCGGCATGCTTGCCCGAGTTGGCCCTCTTCCGCTTGTTCTTCCTCCCAGTCTTCTTCTTGGCCATCTCGTTCCCTCCCGCCTCCTGCACACCCACACGCGCACCAGTGATGTGAGTGACTGGCTCTTCTTGACCATCATGCCCATGGCTGGCCAGAGACCAAGCCTGTGCCCGTCTCTCACACAAGATGGATGGGGGAGGATCCATCCCGGGGACGGGGACAGTGCTGACTGCAGGGGGGAGGGAGGGGGTTGCGTACTGTGAGAGTTGGGTGTTGGGTGCGGGGACGGGAGGGGGAAGGGAGGGCGGTTGAGTCGGGCGGTGGGAGATGGGATAGGAGTGAGTGATGACGGTGTTATCGGGGGAAGGGGGACGAGGGGGGCGGAGGGTAGCTGCTGTGCCACCAGAGGACAGCAGTGTCCGTCGTGATGGGAGGGAGGGGGTCAACGACGACGACGGCCTCGCGATTTGGCGGCGGCGGCCTCTTCGGCTGCGACAACCTTGTCGTGGGTCATAGCGCCGGCTTCTACCAGACGGTCGATGACAGCTTGGACATCATTGGCAACGGCCATGTCCAGGGCGGTTTCGTTGGACGGGGTGGTGGCGTTGACGGCAGCACCGGCGTTGAGCAGAGAGTCGATGATGCGCGGATGATTGTTGGCAACAGCCAGATGCAGCGGTGTCCATCCATACTCATCCGGAATGTCAGCATTGACCCCATCGACCGCAAGCAATGTCTCTGCCACCTCTGTGTTGCCCAGCACAGCTGTCCAGTGCAGCGCCGACTTGCCCTCGCCATCGATGGCGTTGACATCGGCACCAAGAGCCAGCTGCTCGACCACCGGCGCAGTCTCGGGAAACTTGGCCTTTTGCAGCAGATGTGCCGATGCCGGCCGATCAGCCCAGCTCGCCGGATCAAACGGATCTGTCAAGTGGTTGCAACATGTGAGTGATGAGTATGGGAGGGAGGGAAAGGGCGGGGGGGGGGGGGGGGGGGGGGGGCTGGCGTACCAGCCTTCTTGCGCCGCTTCTTCTTGGGCTTCTTGTCCCGCCCCCTGTTCATACTTTCGATGTATGTGGGTGGATGGGAGGTGTATGTGTGTGTGTGTGTAAGTGTGTGTGTGTGTGTGTGTGTGCGTGTGTGAGGGAAGGGGGTATGGGTGCGGGTGTGGGTGGGGTGGTGGTGGCGGTGGTGAGCTTGGCGCGGTGGCTCCTGCTCGGGCTTTGGCTACTCAAACATCGACACTCTGGCCCCCAAGGCCTTTATGGGTTTGCAGAACTACTATCTCGAGCGCCTGCACATGGCCTTTGTTCTCAACGCGCCCTAGATCTTCAAGGCTTTCTGGACAATTGCCTCATCGCCCATGGATCATCGCACAAAATCCAAGATTGTCTTCTGCGCCGGCGCCAACGCCACACCGTCCTCGCCGAGCACTACCCACCCGAAGCCCTCCCGCCCGAAGCCCTCCCGTCCGAAGCCCAACCGCCCGGAAGACTGTGGTGAGCGTTCGCCTGCGCATCTGCGGTGCCATCCGCGCCGACGTCATGTCAGCACTCGCCGTCACGCATACAGTCGTCGCCAGGTATCAGACCTCGTCCGAGTAGTACTCGTACTCATCATCCCCAAGAAGGGCACCAAGCCCGTGGCCAGGCATGTGTCGGCGCACAAGTTCGCGAAGTGCTTGGCACCTTGGCGAGTCGGGCGGAAGCCTTGCGTGGGCGAGATAGCTCTGCATGCCGTCCATGTCAGCAGTGTTGAGCAGGCCGAGGACGTGCGAGGTGCGGTAGTACGCCGCCGAGTCAAAGAACCGCGCGTCAGCGTCGGCAGCAACGGCTAAAGCTTCGCACGCCGCACCGAGACCTTCACCGAGCGCACGACAAAGGATCGAGAGCTCGAGAAACCGCGACGAACTGTACTGGATGCGGTCGGCGTGGCCCGACGCCGCGTACAGCGCGAAATGATCCGCAGCATCAACGTACGCACCATGCGCGAGCATTGCTGCAGCTAGAAAGTAATACATCCGCCCCGGTTCGCCCAGAACCTCGGTGTGTGCGTTCGCCATTGCTAGCGTGGCTTGACCAAGCTCGAGCGCATCCTCTGCCTGTCCGGCGTCGGTCGCCACCCGCGCCGCGCACTGCAACAACTCAAACGCACGCTGGACCGCCGTTCGCGGCGGCGATGCACCGGGCGCTGTCACCGCGGCGGCCCACAGCTCACCGCCGCGCCGCAGGTGGGCCACTCTAGCCATCGGCGTCGTCGCCACATACCCGGCCAGGACAGCGGCGGCAATAGCAAGCGCGCTCGTCGGCTCGTCAGCAGAGGCGCGCAGTCCAAGTGCTTGACACGCCTGCGGCACGCCTGTCGTCTCGATTGGCAGCCTGTCGAGCAGGCTGCAGTCGTCAGCTACTGCCCACGGCGGAATAGCGTCTGTATCAAGCGTGGGGACCAGCGCGGCCGCTTCCATCGCCGCCGCTTCGGCCGCCGCCGCCGCCTCGTCAAAGTACTCACCCCACCATAGCACGAGCGCGGCGTCGATCATCCATCGCAGCCTCTCTACATTCGACACAGCAGCTTCGGCAGCGGTGCGGGCGTCGAGCGCAAGACCCCAGGCTCGCCAGGCGGCCACCATCAGCGGTGACTCGCGCTTGGCGCGCTTGAGCGTGAAAAGCCGAGCCGGCGAGAGGTTGGCCACCTCGACTCTCCACATCCGCGCATAGAGACCAATGTCGAGGACCTCGATCTCCGACTGGGGCGGATTCTCGCCAAAACAGCGCCGATGGACGGCGCGCCAGAGGAGATCGTCGGCGAGGAGGCGGCGGAAGAGCGACGAGACGTGCGAGAGGACGACGACACCGTACGGCGACAAGAACTCGCAGACCAGAAATAACAGTTCCACAGGCAAGTCAACCAACGTAAGAGCATGGTCAACACCATCACCGTCACCACCACTGCCTTCTGCTCCTCTCCCTCTCCCTCTCCCGCTCCCAGTCCGTCCACGTCGACTCACTCGTCCGCCCATGGCGACAAGCGTGTCGAGTCGAGCCGCATCGATGGGGAATGATCATGCTCACTGTGGCACCAACCCCGCACATACACATATAACATACATAACATACCCATTCCGATGTGCATCCCGATGATGGGCATCCCGATGGTGGGGTACGAGCGAAGGTCGGCGCAGCATCGGCGGAGGGCGAGCGACAGCAGTCGACAGGCAGGCAGTGGCACTCACCCACGAATCGCCACCTGACTTGCAAGGACGACGAGGCCATGGAGGCAGGAAAGCAGGTGTGGCTGGCTTTTGGAGTGAGCACGTGCATTGCACTCGGTCTGTTGGAAGGGATCAAGGTGCTGGCGAGGAAAAGGGTGGTGGATACGGCGCTGGCGAGGAAGCTGACACACATCCTGGTCGGACTGGTCTTCATCCCCTGCTGGGCTCTGTTCCCCTACGACGACGAGCCGGACATGTCGGCAAGAGTCGCTGCTCTCATTCCGGCTGGTATCGTGGCCAAGTTTGCTGCCATGGGCCTGGGCATCATCGATGATCCGCCCACTCTCGCCATGCTCTCGCGATCAGGCGCCAAGGAAGAGCTGCTGTACGGACCGACACAGTACGGCATCATCTTTGTGGTCACCACCTGGGGCGCCTTCCGCTCGCCTGGTTCGGTCTGCCAGCTTGTCCTCCTCTGCGTCGGCGACGGCTTGGCTGACGTCGTCGGCAGAAGACTCGGATCGCGCAAGCTCCCGCACTCGCCCGACAAGTCGTGGGCCGGATCGGCAGCGTTTGTGGTCGGATCATACCTGGCAGGCATTGTGTACTTGTACGGGTGCTCATCAGCCGGTCTCGGCTGGTATCCGCTGCAGAAAGTCCACGACTGGGTCTTTGGCTGGAACTGGTTTGTCGTCTGCCTCTTGGCCGGCGTCGTTGAAAGCCTCCCTCTCCCCGCCGTCGACAACGTCACCGTCTTTGCCACCGCCTACATACTCTGTTCAGCCTGGGGACTGTAAACGCCACCAACTACCGCAAAGACATTGTGCCTATGCAGCCCATCTGGCCCGTTCCAACTTGACCCGCCCAAGATCGCTACCCTCCCCACGCTCCCAGCCCCGGCGGTCAACCCAGTCGAGCGCGCCACGTCAGAAGCCACTCCACCCAACAGTCAAGACCTTTCACTCTACCCACACCCTCAGCCAGGCACACTCACACATGGACAGAGACGCCATCATCGGCATAGCAGGCCGTGGCGTGGCGGCATGGGAGGCTAAGGTCGGCTGGGAGAGCCCCTCGGTCAGCCACGTCCTGGTCGCCTCGGACGACACAAAGGTCGTGGTTCGCCTCCGCACGAGTGACAATGGGGACGATGGCAGCGCTGGACTGCTCCCGATGGTGGCGATGGAAGCTGGAATGGCGACACGGCTTGGTGGTCATGGTGCACTGGTCACCATGTCTCCGATAGTGCCGCGGGCACTTGACAAGGTCGTTGTGGCGGTTCCCGGCGGCGACGGCGAGCAAGTCGGTGGAGATCTTGCGGATGCCCTGCATGCCATCCGCAATGGCAAAGGTGTGGTGGGCGTAGGCCTTGCCCCGGTCTTGCCACACGCTGCGGTGGTCAAGCATGCAGAGCCTTATGCGTATGGCGTGATCGGACCCGAGACCGAGATTGTGGTCGTGGCCGGCAACTCGAGCGGGAGAGTCGAGTCCGCGGAGAGTGTTGATAGAGCTGCCGATGCTCCTCATTCACCGCCGCTGCTGATGTTGGGTGGCCAGGCGCCAGCTGCACGCGGCGCGATGCTTGCTACTGCCACCATCATGGACGGCGCGATGCGACCGCGTATCACGAATAACCGCGACGAGGCGGACACCGCGCTCCACGCGGTCGTCTCTTTCGACTTGCTCCGCAAGCTCCGCTTGCCGGGCGGAAGCGTGGTGCGGATCCGATCGAGCTCCAAGGGCGCAGCATCCCGACTGGCTCGGGTGTTTGGTGGTGCTGGTGTGAGTGCCGACGCGGTTGCGCTCGCGCCGCTACTTGCGTTCAATGCGGGCCTGGCTCGTGGCCGTGCTGTGCTCGGCACTGTGGCCGAGGCTTTGCCTGAGTACGCGAGCGAAGCCGTTATTGCGCGTGTTATCTCGCCGGACTCGTCAGGCAGTGCCGACTATAGTGCTGCGCTCCACGCGCACTTTACCGTTCCGCGGACGGTGGCGGTCGGCGACGTGTTTGCCCTGCCTCTTGCGCCTCACGCCGACGCTGCGGCGTGGTTTCGGGTCACTTCGCTCGATGGAGTGACGGCCAAGAGTCGTAGCGTCTCGGCGCTGCGTCGGATCAGCGTCGGCGTGACGGTCCTAGTCCAAGAGGGTTCGGTGCGGGCGCGGGTGCCTCACAGCTGGCCGCGTTGGCTGGCACGCCTGCCACCACCGGCGTCTGCTGTCATTGCCCGCGCTCGCTCCGAGTTGTGCGGGAGAGTTGCTGTCGCGGTGGGAGCGCCGACAGCGACGCTCCTGACCGGCCCAGATGCTGCCGCCAAGGCCGCTGCTGTGGCAGCGGCGTGCGAGGCCGAATCGCTGCATGTTGTCAGCGTCGACGGTTTTGACGTCCTCGGGGCAAGCGACGCCAAGACCGAAGCCAATCTGCGGATAGCGCTTACAGGTGCGGTCGAACTGGGAGAGACAGGCTGTGTCTGGTTGAGCAACGTGCAAGCGCTGGCAGGCGCTACAGTTGTTGACGGGACCGAGGCTGTGTCGGAGACTGGCATGCTCAACGCAAGCAGCGAAGCGTCTGGGGCGAGCGAGCCGTCGCTGGGTGCTGCTGGCTCTGAGAGCACGGGCGATCCCGCAGCGGCAGCGTCTGTCGACCGGGTCAGCCTCGCGGTCGCCGAGCTCCTCGACGCTGTGGTGGCAAGCGGCGCAGCAGTGGTCGGCAGCGCGACAGCGTATTCGGCGCTTCCGGCGCGGCTGCGGTCGATCTTTGTGCACACCATTCGGTTCGAGCCGCCGTCGAAAGCTGAGCGAATCGCGCTTGTGCAAGGTGCACTAGCAGCGAGCGACGCGCCCGACGTGCTTGTTGGCGACCGGAGCCTGGCTACCGCACTGGCCGCGCAGAGCGCTGGTGCCTACTCGGATGCGCTGCTCGGGGTGGTGGAGATGGCCAAGGCGGGAGCGCTGGAGCGGATGCTAGCTACAACCGAGGTCGGCGAGAGCCCGCCGCCGGTCTGCATCGACCGGGCGAGCCTTGTGGCTGCGATGGAGGCGCATGTGGCCGCGGCTGGGGCTGCACTCGGCGTGCCAAAGGTGCCCAATGTCAAGTGGGACGATGTCGGTGGGCTGGAGGAGGCCAAGGCGCAGATCCTGGACACCATCTGGCTCCCGCTGCAGCACCCGGAGCTGTTTGGCGACGGAATGCGGCAGCGGTCGGGTCTGCTCCTGTACGGCCCGCCTGGCGTGGGCAAGACGCTGCTTGCCAAGGCTGTGGCGACCGAGTGCGCGCTCAACTTTCTTTCGGTCAAGGGTCCCGAGCTGATCAACATGTACATCGGCGAGTCTGAGAAGAACGTGCGGGAGCTGTTTGCGCGGGCGCGGGCGGCGTCACCGTGTGTCATTTTCTTTGACGAGCTCGACGCGCTGGCGCCCAACCGCGGCCAGGGTGCCGACTCGGGCGGGGTCATGGACCGCATCGTCTCGCAGCTGCTGGCCGAGCTCGACTCGCTCCACTCAACCCGGTCTATCTTTGTCATCGGCGCCACCAACCGCCCGGACCTCATCGACTCTGGCCTCATGCGGCCGGGGCGATTCGACAAGCTGGTGTACCTCGGCCTCTCGCGCGATCCAGCAGCCAAGCACAAGGTTCTCTCCGCGCTCACCCGCAAGTTCACCTTTGGCGACGACGTCGATCTGAACGCGCTCGTTGCCCTCATTCCAGACACCTTTACCGGCGCCGACCTCTACGCGCTGACCTCGGACGCGCTACTGGCGGCGATGAAGGACGTAATCGCTGCCGCCGAGGCCAACTCCAGCGGCGCTGATCTCGCAGACGCCAGCGGCGTCGTCGTCTGCCAAGCGCACCTGACCTCGGCCCTTGCGGCGCTCACCCCCTCGCTCACCGCCGCCGACGTTGCCAAGTACGAGGCGCTCCGCGACAAGTACGAGGCAAGGGTGTGACACCACGCCAGACAAGCTTGGCGAGAGCAATACACATCCTCCCTGCTTGGTAGGTGTGGCGTGTGTGGCTGTGGGTGCTGTGGCCGTGCGCAGGATGTGCGGGAGTTGCGGTCCGTTGAATTCCGCCGAAAATAAACAAAAAACATTCACGTGGCCATGACGATTCCAATCATTGCAAAAACAAGTCTGAGCAGAGACAGCCACCTTCCCCCCTTCCCCCCGACTCGAGACCAGGCCGGCTCGGCACTTGGTGACGGCCAAGGCGTGAGGGCAGTGGGGAGGAGAAAGTGACATACCCAACTCCTCATTGACAAAGAAGCACATCCTTCTTTGCAACAGAATGGTGTGGACTACGACTGCAGTCGTGTGGCTCATGGCCGGAGTGTGTCTGGTGGCGGTGGCCTCTGCTACTACCTACGAGGGAGAGTTTGAAGGAGACGGCGGTGTTCTGGTGGGCAAGGACGAGTTGCAGGCTGCGGGGGAAGGCAGACGAGCGAGCAGAATGAGCTTAACATGGCGAATGATGACGGCGTCCATGTGTGTGTCAAGAACTTGTACTATCCGGATGGAAGTGCTTACTTTCCTGTGAGCAAGCTCGAGGCGCCCGGAAACGAGCCGTACACTCTCATCGGCGTGTTCGACGATCCCGACGTGTACGACTTTAGGGTCAATCTCTGCGAGTCTGTCGAGTGCGGAGACAAGGGCTCGCACTTTTCAGGCTGCCAGAACTATACCGACAGCAGAACCCACTACCGCGGCCTGGGCGATGTGGACACCATCACCTGGTCCACTGTCGTTCCGGATCAGGGGACCGGCTTTACCGTCTCGTTTTCAGACGGAACGCCGTGCAGCAGCGAGGACGCGGCTGGCAACGCCATTCTCCGCTCCATGCGTATCTTTGCCATTTGCTCGCCGGGTGACACCACGCCGCGGCTTGAGTTCATTGGCGAGACCGGATACTGTGAGTACGACTTTAATCTGTTTGCTGCCGAGGGCCCGTGTCCGATTGCGGTGGGCGAGCCGACGACGCCGCAGCCGTGCCACAGCGACTCGCCGCTGGTGGTCACCTCGGGTGCACCGGGCGCAGCCGACGACTTTTACTACCCGGTGTGGGAGCTGGAGCAGAGCCTGGCGTCGCCGCTCACGGTCCAAACCGACATTCTCGGCGTCCATTTCGACTTTGAGATCAACATGTGCGGGACTGTCTCGTGTCCCGAGTCTGGGCTGGCGGCGCCTGCCGGATGCGCACACCCAGGTAACGGCCCAATGTTTGCGCTCGGTGCGCTCGAGACTGTGGCAGTTGAGCCGTACCCTGTCGCCTCGACGATGGTGGCCGGCGAGACGGTCGACGTGATGGACGGGTTCAAGCTCACGTACACTGGTGGCGAGGCGTGCGACGCGGGCAACCCGGGAACCAAGAGCCAGCTGGAGGTGTATGCGGTGTGCGACTCGCTGATGCGCGACGTGGACCCGCCGCGGGTGGTGTTTGGCGACCAGAGCAGCGCGTGCAAGTTTGAGTTTCTCGTCTACTCGCACCTGGCGTGCCCGCTGCCTGTCGACGGTGGGAGCGGCGCGGTGCCGATGTACGACAGCTGCCCCGAAATCATCTCGACCGGCAAGGGCCACCACTACGACCTGGTCCCGCTTCGCGCCGAGGTCGAGCAGCCGTACGTGGTGACCGACACGCGATTTTCGATGGAGCGGCAGTACCGGTTCAACCTCTGCGGCGCTGCACAGTGCTCGTACCAGGACTGCGGCGATGACAAGTGCTACAAGGTCGAGTCGTCGCTGGTGCCCGAGTCGAGGGCCTCATCGTGCGTGATGTGGCAGGCGGCGACGGGTGAGGTCCACGGCATCATCTCTGGTCGGATGGACATGTCGTACGGTGCTGCGGCCAAGCCGGACCTCTCGGGCTTTACGCTCGAGTACATTGGTGGTGACCCGTGCGAGTCGGATGAAGAGCGCAACGTGCCGGCCATGGAGCGCGGGCGGCGGACAATCATTCACGGCGTGTGCGACCCGAATGCTCACTCGACAGTGGTCGAGTTTGTGTCGGAGAGCTACGCGCCGTGCGTGACGGTCATCAAGGTGACGTCGGCCAAGGCGTGCCCCATCGCGGACCGTCCGCGGGTGGCGACGACGTGCGCACAGCGGGTGCTCTTTTCCAACACTGTTGGCAAGGCGTACAACTTCCACAACATGGACAAGGACTCGGCCATCACGGTCGACGTCACGTTCGACGGTGTGGACCACGAGTATACGTTCTCGTTCTGCGACAGTCTGGCATGCCCTGGTGCCCAGCGGTTCGGTGACGGGCAGCCAACGTTCTGCCACTCGTACACGAGCGCGTCGAACCCGTCGACACCACAGGTCGAAGTCCTTGGCACAATCGACTCGACGACCTTCCTCACCCACGCCGACGACTCTGGCTACACGGTGGTGTACTCGGCACCGGAGCCGGCAAGCGGCGCGGTGACCTCGGCTAGCGGCGCCGTTGTCCACGTCCACTGCGACGCGACGGCTGACCGCCCGGTTGCAACGCTCGTCGGTGTCTCAGCCTCGGGCATTCTCGAGCTCATGGTTCGGGCCAACGAGGAGTACGGCGGGTGCGCTTCGGATTTTGCCGGCTCGTCGGGCGGCTCTTCGTCAAGCTCGCCGTACACTGCCGGGAGCAAGCACTCGTCGACCTCGTCGTTCACAACCGTCTTTGTTATCATTGTCGTCATCGCCATGGTCGGCTGCCTTGGCGTCGTCGCGCTCAAGATGTACGTCTCGGCTCACCCCGAGTCGTCGCTGCCAGACCCGACGGCGCCGTGCGCCAAGCTGCCGTGCGCCAATGAGGAGTCGAACATTATCGGCGGCATGATGGCGCCGGTCTCGCGGATGGGTGGTGGCGAAGTCATCAACATCAACAACGACGCCGAGTTTGTCGCATCGGACCGCTCGTCCGGGTCGGCAGTCTCTGAGGAGGGAGCTCCCGACAGCGTCGACGATGCTGCTGGTTCCCGCTCTGCCTCGGGCGACGACAACGCGGTGTAGTCTGTTTTTTAACCCGTAAACAAGGAGTCGATCACAGCCACACAGTGTCTTGCGGGGCGGCCGAGGAGCTTGCGGCATCGCCAGCAGCAGCGTCAGACGACGTCGGCGGGCCACCGACGCCTGCGGCGGCGAGCTCGCGCTCGTGGCGAAGCTTGCGCGCGGCAGAGCGCCAGTCGGTGGCCTTGATATCGTCCGGGTTGCGACCAGACTGGGCGTCGCCGGAGAACGAAAAGAAGCCGAGTGGCGGGAGGTCGACCGGCTCGTCCGAGGCCACGCCCGACGCAACGTCTTGCAGCTCGGTCTCGTCCGGGTCGAGGCCAAGCGCAAGCGAGGGCATAGCATGGGCGAGGAACGGGAGAATAAGCAGGCGCAGCGGCGATGGTTGCTTGAAGGCGTCCTTGAGCTTGCGCCGGCGGCCGCCGTGGCGGGCAGCGGCGGGGCCGATAGGCTTGTACGGAGCAAAGAGGCTGTCGACAGCCGCGACCTCTTCGGCGTTGTCGTCGTCTCCCCAGGCGATGGAACGGTTTGCGCGTGACTTGGTGGCGAGCGATGTGTCGTAGGTGATGCCGCGGCGGGGCTCGGCGCCAGTTTGCGAGTCGAGCTCGTCGCCGGCAGGGTGAGAGTCAACAGGAGCAGCTTCGGTACCGGACTCGCCGGGCTTGCCGCACACACAGCCGTCCAACTTGGCGCGTAGCATATGGATGCGGTCAAGCCGGACGGCGGCGAGCTGGTCGGCGCGCTTGTACGCCTTGGCGAGGGCTGTGGCGAGAGAAGCATTGTCACCAGTGGTGTCGGCATCGGTGACCTTGTTCGAGGCGCGGGCGAGTTTGGCGACCAATGCGTCCTCGCGCTCCTGGATCCCATCGTCGTAGAGGGCGAGGCTGTCGGCGGTCCGAGTGCGGAGCCAGATGAGCTCGCGCACAAGGTGGGCGTGGGCCTCTTCGTGGTCGCGGACGCTATCCTCGGCCTCGGCAAGCTCGTTGCGGAGGCTACGAAGCTCTGCCTCGAGTTTGGCAATGACCTTGCGCGCATCGCGTTCGGCCTCGACGATCGGCATCGATGGGAGCGGAAGGCCAGCCTCGGTGGCAGCAATCTCGCGGGTCTTTCGGTAGGCATCGTCGAGGGCTGCGATGATGGCCGTCTGCTTGGCGAGTTGTGACCGGAGGAGCGCAGTCTTGCGGGCCTCGCGCTCAGATGCCTGTTCGGCAAAGAGCTTGTGAGCAACGTCTTGCGCGGCGTCAGGTCTCGGCGGGGGCGTCGTCGAGGCCGGCGAGCGACCGGCCGCAGACTCGCCCGACAGCTGGGCCGAGACGGCGGCAAGGTTTCGGAGCTGGTCGGCCTGCGCCTCGAGGAGCTCGATGCGCTTGCCGCGGGCTTCGTGGGCGTGCTTGAACTCGAGGAGAGCGAGCGACTCGGCTTCGCGGCCCGAGGTGTGGAAGTCTGCGATGGCTAGATCAAGAACCGACGAGGGGAGGGCGAGGAGCGCGTCCCAGCGCGGCTGGTGGAGGGAAGCCTCGAGCTCTTGCAGGTACATGAGCTGGCCCTGGAGCTCGATGAGGCTGGCGTCGGAGGCCAGGAGTGAGTCTGCACGAGCAGCAGCCTCCGCGGCGCGGGCGTCGTTGGCAGCCGCGAGCTGAGACTCCAGCTCGTTGATGCGGGTGCGGGCGAGGCGGGCTTCGGTCTCCCAGTGCTCTGCACGGCGCTCGAGGTCTGCGACCTCGGCAACTGGCTGAACGACGCTCTCCTCGTTGTCCATGCCTGCAACCTCTACGCCGAGCTCGTAGAGCTGTTGCTTGAGGCTGCGGATGGTGGCCTGGCACTCGAGGTGGTCGGCGGGCGAGCCGGCGAGTGGGTTGTTCCCGGACGAGCCGTCCATAGCGTCGTTGCCGGCAGCAGAAGATGCGCTCGCGGCGTGAATCTTGGCGTGGGTGTAGAGAACAAGATTGGAGCCACGAAGCTGCTCGACGAGGTGAGACATCTTGTCGTTCTCGTCGGTGAGGAGCTCGGCGCGGTACTGGAGGCGGACGTAGGCGTCCTTGAGCTGCGAGTAGGCGGCGTCGATGGAGCGCGGCGAGGGAGGGGCGGCATCGGGCGCAAGTAGGGCGTCGACGCCCGGACCAAAGTTCTGGCTCTCCTCCCACTCGATGTACTCCTTGAGGCGGGTGGTGACTGCCGAGAGCGAGGCTTCGGCTGCGAGGGTGGCGTTCTCGCCGGCCTCAATGTCGACAGCCTTGGCCTCGTTGAGCAGCTCGCGGTCGCGGGCATGGCGCTCGACAACAACTTCGAGCTTGGTCTCGAGCTCAGAGACGTGGGCGCGAGCCTCAGAGACGTCGACGCGCGAGGTTGCCAGCTCGTCCTGAAGAGCGGCGTTGGCCTCGAGCGCGTCCTTGAGCTTGGCGCCGAGCTGGCGCTTGATGGCCTTAATGTGGACTTGCAGCGCACCAACGTGCTCGTCAGCGCGGGCGGCCTCTGACTCTGCAGCGCGAGCGGCCGCCTGGGTCGAGGCCTCGGCCTGCGGGCCGCGGGCAGCGAGCTCGGCCCGCGCCTTTGTCAGGGCGGCCTTGTACGCCTTGTTCTGCTTGGCCAGCGCCAGCGCCTTTGTCTTGTATTGATCGCGAGCCACCAGAGCGAGCTGGGTCTTCTCATCGGCAGCCTCACGAGCAGCCTTGAGCTCCTGGGCGTGGAGCCAGAGCTCCCTCACGTCCGGGATGGACGAGTCGTTACGGGCGTCTCCTGGCTGACCTTGGCCGGCATGGTCAGCGTGCAGGCCATCTGAATCAGCAGATGCATTTGCGTCGACCAGCTCTGCCGTCCTTGCCCTCCGGGCGCGAAACTCGTCAGCGTATGCATGGAAGAGCGAGGAGACGGACGAGGGCGCGAGGTCTGTCTTGCGGCGGCCATGCCATGAGTCTGTGGGCGGTGTAGTCCGTGGAGGGGGAGGAGGGAGCGGGATGAGGGTGGACCTGTTGAGGTGGGATGCTGAGGGGGTGGACATGGGGGCGGGTGGGGGGGGTGGGGGGGGGGGTGGGGGGGGGGGGGGGGGAGGTGGGGTGGGGGTGGGGGTGGGGGGGTGGGGGGGTGGGAGGGTGGGAGGGTAGGGTGGGGTGGTGGCGGTCCGG